CAAAATGACTTTAACAAAAACCAAGGCTGGGTGTGGTGGCTCAAGCCTGTAATCCTAGCACTTTTGGAGGCCAAGGCAAGAGGACCACTTTGAGCCCAGAAATTTGAAACCAGCCTTGGCAACAAAGGGGCACCCCATCTGTACAAAAAAAAATTTTTTAATTAGTCAGGTTTGGTGGGGCAAGCCTGTAGTCCCAGCTACTTGGGAGGCTGAGTTGGAAGGATCACTTGACCCTGAGAGGTGAAGGTTGCAATGAGCCGTGATCACACCACTATACTCTAGCCTGGGTGACAAAGCAACACCCTCTCTAAAAAAAGAAAAGAAAAGAAAAGAAAAAGACCACAGACACACAAATTTACATGCCTTTTTATAATCCTTCTTACCAAAAACATACTCTACTTCCTTACACACTTTGCATATTTTTTCTCTTATATCTAGTAGTTTTGACTACATGTGGTTATTATAGTGTTAATAATTAGTAACTTTTATCTTAGTAAAAAACCTAGGAAGTAGGTAATTTTAATTACATATCAGATGCAGAGCCCAGGACAAAAGACAATGCCTGGAGAATCTAATTTCTCTCAGCATCTCCCACCAGGGGAGGCATACCTGGGATAGGAGAGATGGACCAGGTGTCATCCCCGAGCCTCATCATAGGCATCTGTCTAGACCTCTGAATCGAAAGATTCAAATCAAGATACACAGACTCAGAAACAAAGTAATGAAGTATCAAAAATCTCAAGCAATAGCTTTTTGGCCGTAAGCCTGCCTGATCAATAGACTCAGACAAAAATGTCTAAATTAAAATTCTGAAGACATTTCAATCTTATTTTACCAATAATTCTAAAACTATCTTTATTTCTCCAAGATTGCTAAATTCACATGAACTTGAAAAGCGTTTGGCCTTAATTTATGAGTACTCATTTATTTTTAAATTATTGTGGTACCATGTGTAGACAGTATTAAACATGTATAGTTATAAATGCATATATACATATACATGTATGTACAGAGACACACAAGGTATAGCATACACTCTGCACACAAACACTTCATTGTTTTGATTTTAGAATTTTAGCCTGAATAACTTTGGAGCCGAGCGGGCGATCACAAGGTCAGAGATCGAGACTACGGTGAAACCCCGTCTCTACTAAAATACAAAAATTAGCCGGCGGTTGTGGCCCTGTAGTCCAGCTACTCGGAGGTGAGCAGGAGAATGGCGTGAACCGGGGCGAGCTTGCAGTGAGCCGAGATCGCGCCACTGCACTCCAGCCTGGGCGACAAGCGAGACTCCGTCTCAAAAAAAAAAAAAAAAAAAAAAAAAAGAATTTTAGCCATAAGACAGGTAAAACTCTCTAGTCTAAAAAGACAGATTCAAACTATGCCTTTGTAAATGGAAAAATTTAAGGTTTATATGGAGAATCCTTTCTGAGTTTCAGAGAAAACAGGTAGCAAATTTATATCTCAAAGTACAGAGAGAACTTGATTTTTCAAGAAGCTTGGGTGTGTCAAAGGAAGATTAAAAATGGATGCCAAGATTCCTTAGGAATTAACCATAAGATTGCATAAAGAGAGCAATCTCATTTAGATAAGTAGCTTTTAATTTAGTCTGTGTTTTTCAAGTAGACCACTGAGGTCAGGACAGAACTCATTAAGGAACAAGGCTAACAAAGTATGTTTAGTTTATAGGGCCTAATAATTTAAATATGAAAAAAGTGGACGCGGTTAAAAGGCAAAGCATTTAGATGTTTAAAAATCAAGGGTTTCTGAGAGTTGAACAATGAGAACACAGGGAGGGGAACATCACATACCAGGGCCTGTCTGGGGATAGGGGGCAAGGGGAGGGATAGCATTAAGAGAAATACCAAATGTATGCAGGGCTCAAAACCTAGATGACGGGTTGATGGGTGCAGCAAACCACCGTGGCACATGTACAGCTATGTAACAAGCCTGCACGTTCTGTACATGCATCCCAGGACTTGAAGTATAATAAAAAAAAAAAAAAAAATCAAGGCTTTCACTGAATCCCAGGTCCCCCCCCAAAAGAGGAAAGCACCATGGAGACCAGGCCACACACTTTGGGCACTTTGCTGCAAATATATTTTTCTAGGTGTTTAAACCGCACCGTTGCTTGTCTAATGTGCAAATAAATGAATAGCCCCCTTTAGTAACAACCATTTATTGGAAACAACTATAGTTGGCCATGTCTAACACTGTTTCTCTTGCCTCGCTATTACATACATCAAAGTCAAGTTCTCTCACAGTATCAAATAATTTCTAGTCAAAAGCCAAAGCGATCAGGTAACACAACACAGAAGAGAGCAGAGTTTTAGACCTGAGAGGAGGTTGCCTACGACGCTTGAAACTGCAAGGAAAGAAGACTCCCAGAAAGCAGTCAGAGGACTCAGAGTAAACTTCTGCTGAGTTCCTGAAGGAGTGTGATCTGTTAGAAGTCTTCTCTAGATCATTTCCTGTGGTACCAAAAATGGCAGAGAGGAAGGAGAAGTAGGGAGAAGTGAAAGTAAATGGGAAAACAATCTTTTTTGTTTGAGATGGAGTTTCAAAAAACTCTTGTTGCCCAAGCTGGAGTGCAATGTCACAATCTCAGCTCACTGCAACCTCCACCTCCCAGGTTCAAGCGATTCTCCTGCCTCAGCCTCCCAAGTAGCTGGGATTACAAGCATGCGTCACCACGCCCCACTAATTTTTTTGCATTTAGCAGAGATGGGGTTTCACCATGTTGGTCAGGCTGGTCTCGAACTCCTGACCTCAGGTGTTCCATCTGCCTTGGCCTCCCAAAGTGCTGGGATTTACAGGCGTGAGCCACGGCACCCAGCATAGGAGAACAATTTTTAAGAAAAGAAGGGAACAGAGAGACATGCACATTAAAAAAACAAAAAAAGTTTTAGTCCACTGAAAAACAATGTCCAAAAACAGGATCCAAAGAGAAAAAGCAGAAAGACACACACAAACACACACACACATACACATACACAGCTCAGATATCAACTTTTAATTAAGCTGATCTTTAACCATAGAGCTTTTTAAAAATCCCTTTAGTTTTTATTATCAGATTTTAACTGGGACAAATAGCTGATCTTAATATTTCTGGCTTTGATTTTTTGTTTGTTTGTTTGTTTGAGACAGACTTTTGCTTTGTCACCCGGACTGGAGTGCAGGAGCACCATCTCGGCTCACTGCAACCTCCGCCTCCCGGGTTCAAGAGATTCTTCTGCCTCAGCCTCCCAAGTAGCTAGGATTACAGGTGTGCACCACCATCCCTGGCTAATTTTTGTATTTTTAGTAGAGACAGGGTTTCACCATATTGGCCAGGCTGGTCCTGAACTCATGACCTCATGATCCACCCACCTTAGCCTCTCAAGTGCTGGGATTACAGGCGTGAGCCACCAAGCCTGGACTTCCGATTTTTTTTTTTTTAACCAAAAGTACACTCCCTGGTAAAATTAATAGGCCTTAACCAAGGTTCTGACTTAACCAAGGATGTATGAGGTATCTCCAAAGAAGTGAATGACCACTCCCAAAAAGTCAAAAGTCACACAAATGTCAAACCAATAGGGCTCCCTGACTGGGTATCAAACCCAGGCCTTGATGCTGAAAGCATGGAATTTTAACTAATAGACCACAAGGCAGGATGGCTTTTATTGTTATTCCCTCAGGCGATCTCTTACAAAGGACTGTAAAAGTTTTAGGTCGAATTTTTGCTCTTTAATTTAGTCAAGAGAATTTTAAAGGCTAGCCATGACCCTATTATGTATCCTTCTTTCTTTCTTTCTTTTTTTTTTTTCCTTGAGACAGTGTCCTCTGTCACCAGGCTGGAGTGCAGTGGCACAATCTTGGCTCACTGCAACCTCCACCTCCCGGGTTCAAGTGATTCTCCTGTCTCAGCCTCCCGGGTAGCTGGGACTACAGGCACACGCCACCATGCCCGGATAACATTTGTATTTTTAGTAGAGACGGGGTTTCACCATGTAAGCCAGGATGGTCTCGATCTCTTGACCTCATGATCTCCACCACAGCCTCCCAAAGTGCTGAGATAACAGGTGTGAGCCACCATGCCCAGCCTATGTATCCTTCTTTTAATTTAATCTTCTCGTCCGTTGTTTGGTATAAGACATCTCTAAATTTTTTTTTTTTTTTTTTTTTTAATTTAGGAATTTTAGTCTAACTTAAAGGATCCGTCTTCTGGCCACTGACAATTAAGATTTCCAGTGGTGTACTTATTCCAGTAACAACTCAATCCAAAAGCCTCTTCATGTAAAGCCCAGAATGTAATGTTAGGGCATAGAAGAAACAATGCCAAAGATTCCCCCAGCAAAATCTCACTCCCAGAAACGGGCTAAGATAGCAAAAGACTCTTGTTGCCACAGATATTAAGAAACCCACAGATTTGTGAGGGGGGTGCCAGTCACAGATATGTTAATCTGTGACACCGGGTGTCCCCTCCTGGGATTGGACTTTCCCAGCATTAACCAGGCAACAAGGGCTGAGAAAACAAAAGCCCCTTATGGACGGGACTTCTTATGACAAACCCCCGCCCCCAAGAGCTTGGGAGATTAGTCACAAAAAAAGTCGGGTTCCCAGGCATTTTTAGGATGACCACCTGATGTGACCCAAAAATCATGCCCTTCGGGTGGTGGAGACCAGGAAAGAATGCTCCCACTTAGTGAGCTGTCAGGCTCTCCAGGACATAAAATTGAACAAGAGGGAGCTTTATTTGCTATCCCTCTTTATGAACAACACAGAAAGACAGAGACAAAGGAAAAGACTATTTCTGGGAGGAAAGAGATCACACAATATGAATATTCATACCACAAAGTACCAAAAAGTACACCAGAGATACTATACCCCAAGTTAAATCACATAAATCTTTGTCTCACGTTACTCAAAATTGTGCAGAGGAAACAGTGATTTTCACCATGCCCTGACCAGATTACACAGAGAGACAGAGGCCAAGAGCTTTTCTGGTAAGAAATTCTTACTCTTTTTGCCAGCAGATTAGGTCTTGGGTTCTCATAACTGTGACTTCCGGCAGGGTGAAGTTTTAATCTCCCTGCTCACTGCACCAAACGGAAGGTGCCAAGGGCTGACTTTAACCTTTGTCCCTTGGAAAGTTTGCTGAAAATCACTGACATGCGGCAGATCTAAGATTAGAAGGAGAAAAGGATACAACTTTATTTAATGTGTATGCAGGGGAGCCTTCAGAATGAAGAGCCAATCTACCAATGGTGTACAAAAAAGTATTACATTATCTCGAGGCTACAGAAAGAATGCAGGCTCAGAGCATGGCCAAAAACAGGTTTCAGTGGCAAGAGAGGTTATGGGAGAGAGAAAGGAAAGAGGTTTGACTAGCAAAGGTAGTCTTGTTATGTAGATAAAACCCAGCAGCCCTCAGAGAGAATAGATGGCAAATGTTCTTTTCTGACCTCTAAAAGTATTAGACTCTCAGTTAATCTTCGCTAGATCTAGACAAGAGGAGGGCTGGCTGCATTAACGCAAATTCTCCACAGATGCAAATTTCCCCCACAAAAAACAGCTTTGTGGAGCCACTTCAAAATAAGTCAAAGAAGTATATTTTGGGCAAAATATTTTGATTTCCATCGCTGGTTCCAAGACCAAACGCTAATTTCTTCTCTGATACGTATTTTGAAAAGGACGATAATTTGGTATTTATGCAATGGCTTTCTGAAATCATTAATACATTGTACCAAAGTTTCGAGTTTTTAGTAGACTTTAGCTCTAAGCAACTCAAATTCAAAGAAATATTTTGTCTAAATTTTCCTAGCTTCTCTAGGTGAAATTAGCAAGTTCTAGGTCTGTGCCACTGAAATCAGAATGTCAACCTGGTAAAATTAGAAATGTGACTATTGGCCGGACGCGGTGGCTCACACCTGTCATCCCAGCACTTTGGGAGGCCGAGGTGGGTGGATCTCCTGAGGTCAGGAGTTTGAGACCAGCCTGGCAAACATGGTGAAACCTCATCTCTACTAAATACAAAAATTTAGCCTGGCGTGGTAGCATGTGCCTGTAATCCCAGCTACTCCGGAGGCTGAGACAGGAGAATCACTTGAACCCGGAAGGCAGAAGTTGCAACCAGCCGAGGTCGCGCATCATTGCACTTCAGCCTGGGCAAACTCCATCTCAAAAAAAAGAAAAAAGAAAAGAAACGTGACCATTAATTGTGCTACCACTTGCTGGCACATCCATTAAGGCTTTTCTTCCAATAAGGTGAGACACATGTTGTGAATTATACTGACAATTTTTATTTTAGATTTACGTTGACATATATTGACATACCATTGTTCAAATAAATTAATATAACTCAAACACAGCAGAAATCTTGTTTAAATGGCAGTATATTGTGGGATTCTTGGTAGAATGTGCAAAATATACAATTTTCAATGTGTTACAATAAACAGAAAGTAGTATTCAGGTTTTCTTTGTTCTTCTTTTGTTTGTCATGGCAGTATCCTTTGAACAAAGATTAAAAACTCAAGCAAAATAGAATATAGTTGGTACTTGAAGAAAGGAGTTGTGAAAAAGACTTTTTATAATTTTTATTAAAACGAGCATAAGCACTTAGCTTATATGTTTAAAATATTCTTTTAAATGCATTTTGAACTGAAATTGTTATTTTACATTATGATCTTCAAAATAAAAATGTGCCATGTAAATAAAGGCTATAATGGAACAGCATGTAATTAAATATTTCACTCTTCTCACGTGAAGTTGATGGACTTCCACCTGATCTACAGAGTTCTCATTAGCTTTAACAATCTCAACTTTCATTTTTGCAGATGCAACTTCCCTGGTGAAATGTCACAGAAATGTGGAAGATGCTTCACTGAAGTTATTCACACTTCTTAATGATTACATTTTCAAGGAACTGACCTTCTGCAAATCCTTTCCAAAGCTTGAACTTCAGTCCATCACATTACAGCATTGTTACAGCTTCAATTAAATTGTGTAAATCATTTTGATACACGTTCATTTAAAAATTATATATCTTAATTATTCAAGAATGGTTAACTTCCCCTTAAACCTTACTTTTAAAAATAATAATTGAAAACACAACACAGTGAAATGCCGTCTGTATGGATTTGCCATGCACATGTTTGTAGTCAAATAATAATAACAAAAGACAGATTTGCTTCTGTAAAATTTAGATATAATCTGTTTGTTATTGGGGAATAAGGAAAGGCAGTGCTGTATATTTTCTGTTAAGTACTTTCACTTCCCTGTATTCCATTTTTCCAATAGCCTGATTGGTAACAATTATGAAATTAGGCTTCTCTTTTCATATTCAATTTTCAATCATGTTCAGAAAAATAAAACACAGCCCTAATGAGCATATTGCCTTAGAATTAAGAAGGTGAAGGACATTACTCATTTGTCAAACGTAGATATCCCTTGTCCCCTAAAAACTTTCCATTTTTCTAAATTCTGATAGTTAAGAGAAGCAGTGTCTCATTAGGAGTGGAGTAAGTACATGCAGAAGTAAAAATGAAAGTAGGATGGAAGTCAAAGAATTACCACCAAGTAGTAAACCACCATAACAGGTTAGGGCCAGCTAAGCACACATCATTTTAGCTCAGTACATTTCAGCATAGTACAATGTGATTTTTTTGATATCTTGGACTCATCTAAGAACCTGTTTACTCTGTTTCATATATTGGCTTATTTGGCTTCAATTGCCTTTTTATCCTTAAGTCAATTGACGAGCATAATGATTTTGAGAATGATTTCTTTAAAATGATTCAGATTATTTTTGAATGGCTTATTAAAACGTAAGTTTTGGTATTGTAGAAAGCTCAAATCTCAGTAATAACTATGATGTTATTGTAGCTTGGACACATAGGCCCATTGTGCATTGGATATACTTTGAAAACACACAAAACTCTTCTCAAGTGAAGTATTTTTCACACAAAAAAACTTTCTATGGAACAGAGATTCATCATAAGTTACTTAGCAGAAGTTTATAAAGCATCTGAAAAACACTTCCTCTGTAAACCCTGTAAATCACTGTCTGATATGTGGGATGAAAAAAGGCTTGGCCAGTAGAGCAAAGGCTTGTTTTAGCATAAAAAGAGAGTACTGTGAGAAGGTGTCTTCATATGAAAGGAAAAAGAGAGAAATGGGCAATTGCTAATCTTAACTAAAAATCAATGGACTTCTGTGATCCAAAGAATAAAATAAACTCAAAGAAACATGACAAAAAAAATTAGATAAAGAGTTAAACTAAGAAATTGACCTTTATAAACAACGAATTTTTCAGTTATCCAATGTGCTTTTTAAAGATAAAGCTTAAAAGAGGCAAAAAGAGGTGAAAGAAATGAACATGTGTACTTAGAATATATATTGGTTTTGTATGTAACTTCTTAGTTTTTCTGGACAGTTTTCAAATTGAAAGTCTTCAAAATTAATTTAGGAAAAATAGTAAATAAAATTTTTTTTCAAATTATGGTAGAGGGCTGTAGCAAAGAGAAGTGAATTTTGGGAAAACTAACCAATTCTGTTTTTCATAAATGTGTGTTAGAAAGCTAGCAATAGCACATAGGGAAGCATCCTGGAGGACTCATGATTTGAAAGAATTATTTAAGAAGTTATGATATCCTTGGCTGCCTTTCCCCAACCTTGTGATGAACTATAGAAATGCTCCTATTGCTTACAAGCTCTTTCTTTCCTTGTATTCACATTTGGGTATCTGTAGCTTCTAATCCAACTGGGTTCTGCTTCGTGCTTTGACAAAAGGTATTAAAACCTACTTTAGCCTAAAACTTTCTCATGGTAAATATTGGAAGTTGGATTATGCAAATCTATTTCCTACATTCTTTATTTTTTAATTCAAAATTAGATTATGGCATCCAATTTAATTAAAACAAGAAGTCACAATATATTGATTTATGCTATAGTTTCATGTGTAATATGTTTTCTCCTAATATGATATATACACAATTTCCATGAAGGGAAGAAAATGTTTTCTCCACTTATAACTCATTTTATTTCATATTTTAATTTTTAGTATTACTTCATTCAGAATAGAAAATAAGTCAGCGATATACTAAATAATGGGGCTATTCTTTTAACGTAGCAGTAAATTAAGACATAATTTTTGTTAAGAATATGACAAATCATCTCACTTATTTATCCAATGCATTAGGTATTACTAATCCAACTGTATTTCAACTTGAAGGGACTCTTTTGTTTCGTTTCAAAATAATGTATTACCTTTTTTCTCTTTGTTTCTGCATGAAGCTTTATACAGCAAATGAATATATGTATACGGAATTCTGGGTTCTAGTGTCAATTACATAATCAAATTTCAAAAGAGGATGTTAGTTCCTGGCTATGTTGTCCTAAAATTTACACACACTACAAAATGTCTGTCAAATTGTACCTTTAATCTGTTCATAGCTTTAGGGAATTAAGTTTCTTCAACCAAATTATGAAAAAATAACTTAATAGAGTCTTCTAAAAGGAAAAAGTATGAAAAGCTTTCTGAATGATATTACCCTTTATGCCGAAAGGCTCAAGATGCTTCAATATGGTTCAACTTTTCCAAAGTTAATAAACATGAGATGATGAAAGCAGGAGTTTTCATCTTTATTTATTATAACACATTTGTCGTTTGAAAAATGGTCTTGCTCCAGACTGGAATGCAGTGGTGCGATCGCAGCTCACGGAAGCCTCCATCTCCCTGGCTCAAGCAGTCCTCCCACCTCAGTCTCCCAGGTAGCTGGGACTGCAAACACATGTGACGACTCCTGGCTAATCTTTGTATTTTTTGTAGAGATGGGGTTTCACCATGTTGCTCAGGCTGGTCTCAAAACTCCTGAGCTTAAGCCTGATGCCTTCCACTGCCACCTCCGCATTCCAAAGTGGTGGGATTACAGGTGTGAGCCTTTGGGCCTAGCCTTTGATTATTTTTTTTTAGACCGAGTTTCACTCTTGTTGCCAGGCTGGAGTGCAGTGGGGTGATCTCGGCTCATGGCAACCTCTGCCTCCTGGGTTCAAGTGATTCTCCTGCCTCAGCCTCCGGAGTAGCTGGGATTACAGACATGTGCCACCAGACCCAGCTAATTTTGTATTTTGAATAGAGACAGGGTTTCTCCATGTTGGTCAGGCTGGTCTCAAACTACTGACCTCAGGTGATCTGCCCGCCTCGGCCTCCCAAATTATTGGGATCACAGGCGTGAGCCACCATGCCCAGCCCCTTAATTTTTTTTAATAGATTAAGCAATATTATTCATTTTATCTTATAAGACAGCTATATCTTAAGCACCACACAATGTTACGTAGATTAAACTGTATCTTCTCCTCCCCATATTGTAAAGGGTGGTACGTAGACTGATCTGGTCAGCTATCACAGAGTAAGCTAGCCATTAATATTCTTTCATTGTAAAGTTACTTTGGCCATATATTTGTGCCAGCACAGATTGTAAACAAAATTGAGGTTGACTATCCAACTTTTAATTGACTAAATAAATTTGTTTAGATGTAAGCAAGGGCAGTATGATGTATAGACGTGAAACAAAAACTAATCAAGAGAAAGCCAACGAGTTTTTGTGGGTTTTGTTTTTTTGTTTTTGTTTTTGTTTGTTTTTTGGTTTTTGGTTTTTTTAACCACATTGTGTCTAAACTCTTACAAGCATGCTGAGAGTCTCAAATAATTTCTCATGTTGTGGAGAAGGCAGACATGAAAATTAAGAAAACAAAAGGCAAATCATTATTTTAAGAAAATTTTCTTAACGTTCTATCTTTAAGACATCTAGTACTTTTCCCCCAGAGTTTAATAAATCTGTTTCTCCTTTAGTAATGTATTCATTTGTTGGGGTAGTCTCAATGACCATTGTTCAAATTCATAGAAAAGAGAGGTGGCCAACACAGTCATAAAAATGAGAAAGAACAATAATGCATATTTGCCATGTAACATGAGACAACATAATTTAACCTTCCAAGATGCTTTTCAAAATGTTTTAATTAATAGTTCAGCATAGTCACAACAGGACAAAACTTTACATGAGCAATGAATTTATAGAAAGCATACAATAGATACAGCATTTTCAACTCTAGCTCTACAAACCCATTTTGATAATGACGTGCCATTCAAAAGTGCAACTAATTAGTGATTATTCACAACATAAACCTTAAGCTTATTACAATTGACTTAGTAACAAGAACAAGGTGAAAACATCATATGCAGAATAAATGCCAGTTTCTTTGTGATTGAAACAGCTACAATTTTAAACAGTAGAGTGGGTAGATACATATCTTTTCCTGATATTCTTATCTTTCTTTGCATCCTGAGAAAAAGCTTTAAACACAGTATTTCCAAAAGCAAGCTAAAGAAGAAAACAAAATACCTTTTTTATTAGAAGAATATTTGATAAAACTTTCTCTTGAATCAATAGCTTATGTGTGGCTCGATGAGAAAGTGAAGTTTTTAAAAGGGACAGTCAATGTGGTAGCTACTAGCCTTATGTGGATCTTTAAGTTAATTACAATTAAATAAATTAAAAATTCAGCATCTCCATCATACTAGTCATGTTTCAAGTGCTCAGTAGCACTTGTAGCCAGTGATTACCATAATGGGCAGTACAAACTAGAGAATGTTCCCATCACAGAAAATTCTACTGGACAGCACTATTGTACATTATAATACATATAATACAGTCTAGAGAATTCGATGGACTGCACTATGAGATTCATCCCTCTATTTTACACTTGAGGTAACTGAAATACCAAAAAGAAAGTCACATAAGTAAAAAAGCAGTGCTAATGACAGTCTATTTATTGAGTGAAAAGGAAGGAAGACAGTTTGAAGGTCACTTTGCAGACCATAAAATGATATTTAATTAACTTCATTTATCATCACATTTAGCCTTCCCACTCTGATCATAAAATGATTCTTCAGAGAAATCAAACCAAATATATTGGCATTTCAATCTTCAAATATATAAGTGAATCATTTTAAACCTTCTGTAGGTTGTTACCGATCACTTGACAGAGAAGTTGCATCTGGCTAATTATCAGCTTCTCTAATTTCCTTTTACTTAACGACCTTATAAAACTAAGTCCCTTGGGAGAAGGGTCTTTGATTCATTGTTGATCAGCAGTATTTACAGTGAAAAAGACTTGAAAAAGATATAATCTCTCATTGAAATGAATGATAAATTTCTATCTGCTTGCCCAGGTTTTCCTCCCCAAATACACTGTAGCCCCTGTGTTTATCACCACATATAAACAGTGTTATGATATCACTCAGAGCCTATTTTTCATTTCTTCAAGAGCCACAGTTTCCCTTAGAAGCCACATTCAAACCCTGCAAAAGCAGAAGTCTATTTTCAGACATTGAAGTGAGGCACCTCACCCACTAATCTAACCTTCTTCTTTTTTCTCAGTTTTTTTTTTTTTTCAGATGAGGCCTCTCACTATGTTCCCCAGCCTGAACCACAGTGGCTATTCATAGGCATGATTATAGAGTGCTACAGACTCAAGTGATTCTCTAACCTCAGCCTCCTGAGTAGCTGGGACTACAGGTGCATGCCACCATGTCTGGCCAATCTTCTTCTTATAGTATGCTTTGGAAAGTTATCATCACTGTTCTTTCTGTCCTTTCAGATGCCTTTGAATATCTGAGTCTGGCAGAAGAACATAAACTTACACTTAGCCAAGACTTATACCACATGAACAGTTCGATTAAATATAGAATGGAATATAGTTTGGAGAACTTTTTGGATGTGGTCAAAGGGAACTGTCATGAGTCATATTGGTGGTAGAGCCAATTCCCCAATGTTTATAGCGTGCACCAGTTATCATTTACATAAAGTAAAACCCCGAACAACTTTCTCGTGTCACTTAATGGCTGTCTTGTTAACTCTTGTATTCTCTGTTTTTAGCATGACGCTAGGAGTTGAATAGCTATATTTGTAGCAGATCTCTATCGACAATATATTAAAAGATTAAAGAAAGGTACAATATTTCATAGTAAGTGTAAGTTTTTACTTTCTTAAGCTGGATTTCTGGGTCTATTTCATCTTCATATGTTGTTATTCACAGTGGTTAGTCTCTAGTTATGGCAACATTAGAACACTTCATGTGCATTGTGGGTTATGTTCAGCTTTGTCACCCAAGCTGGAGTGCAGTGGCACAACCATAGCTCACTACAACCTTGAAATCCTGGGCTCAAGGGACCCTCCGGTCTCAATCTCATGAGTATCTGGGACTACTAACGTGGGTTACCACACCAGGCTAATTTTTTAATGTTTTTGTAGAGACACAGCCTCCCTATATTGGCCAGGCTGGTCTCAAACAACTGGGCACAAGTGATTCTCTTGCCTTGGCCTCCCAAAGTAGTGGGATTGCAAGTGTGAGCCACTGGTACCTGGCCTACAAACATGTTGCAGTATCTACTTGCTTAAAAATAAACAAAAAGGGTTTTGTGTTTTTGGGTTTTTTTTGGATGCTTTCAAATCATTCTAGCTGATGTACCAAATTTTTTTCTATTCCTTAGCACAAAATTCTTTAAGATAATTTTCTATCACCAGTGGTTCCAGTTCTATAGTCATGTTTTCTTTAACAAAAAGTTCACCAAACAATCCTTGGCAAGGCCATTAATGACCTTTCCTCCACTGAATTCGACTGGAAGTTCTCAGTCGTCATTTTACTGGATCTATCATAGTGAAACCAGCCCAATAGTCCCATAGACAGTTGTTTTTGGATAATCAGAAATTGACCCTTCTCTTGCTGTTAAAGCTTAAAGCTTGTATTTGTTTTAGCTGAGTTTCTTCCTCAGGAAACGACCTTTAGGCCTCTCAAACAAAGTGTCAAAGGGCAGGGTGCAGCAGCTCACGCCTGTAATCCCAGCACTTTGGGAGGCCGAGGTGGGCAGATACGAGGTCAGGAGATCGAGACCATTCTGACCAACATGGTGAAATCCCGTCTCTACTAAAAATACAAAAATTAGCTGGGGGTGGTGGCTGCATGCCTGTAGTCCCAGCTACTTGGGTGGCTGAGGTAGGAGAATCGCTTGAACACAGGAGGCAGAAGTTGCAGTGAGCAGAGATCGCACCACTGCACTCCAGCCTGGTGACAGAGCAAGACTCTGTATTTAAAAAAAAAAAAAAAAAAAGTATCAAAGAACTGAAATTCACGAGATCACCACATCCAGACAATGAGATATTGGACCCCTCATTCATCATGATTGCTTCCTTGCCTTTCTGACACATAGTTACATTTCTTCCCTGCTATATAAACCCTAGTTTTAGTGAGTTAGAGAGATGGATTGACACTGAGCTTCCATCTCCTTGGCTGCAGCACCCAATTAAAGCCTTCTTCCTTGGCAATACTTGTCTCAGTGATCAGCCTTCTGTGCAGTGAGTGAGCTGCAGGACCTAGACTGAACCCCTGGTGTTTTGGTAACAATAGCTTTGGATAGACTTGAACTCCTTTTTCCTGGAAACAGTTTTTTTTTTTTTTTTTTTTTTTTGAGATGGAGTCTTGCTCAGAAACAGTTTTTTTACTTGACTTCTGGGTGTTGCTTTCTTGCCTCCTTCCTTGTACCTACTCCTACTCAGCCTCTTTTGTTGATTCTGCCTCATCTGCTCAGTTTCTGCCCTTGGAATGATCTGGGCCTCAGTCTTTAGATATCTTTTCTTTGTATTTGGAGTCACTCCCTAGATGGTCTCTTCACAATGCCAAACAATATTTCTATGCGGACAACTGTCAAATGTGTATCTTTAATCTGGGCTGATTGGAGATATAAATTCATATTCACTAACTTCAAATTCATACATACATTTAATCTCCTACTCAATTTACTACTGGAAGATTTTATTATCTATGGCATAACAAACCCAAAATATGTGGTAGGAATACAACTCTTCAACTATTCCTAAAACTTCTCTATATTTCCTAGGGATCCCACATCCCCATTAAGTTAAATTGGGATCATATACATAGCTCTGGCAGTTAAAAGCACATTTACCTGCTTCATCTGTCTCCTGTCCTACTATAGGTACATGGAGACCATGTGTTCCACATAGTGTATGCATGAAGTGAAGGAAAAATGATCAGCATATGTAAGACTTCATGTAAACTCGATCAAAATTTGAGATTTAAAGGCTATTTTGTTAGCTTGCTTAGCATATCCCAATATACAGTTTGATAATGTGAAGTGAGGGTGCTGCTCTAAAACATACCTAAAATCTGACACAGTATCAGCAACTCATTAATGGCAGATATGGAAACTGATATCATAGGTTTGAAAAATTAAGAGGTATTTTATTAAATGACAAAATAAGTGGTAAAACTGGCATCTGCAACAGCTTGGGATTCCGACCATGTGCCTAGAGCTCCTAGAAGAAAGCCTGGAAAAGAGCAGATTGGCAGGTAGTATGTTCAGGTTGCCACTGATTGCAATTATCCTTTCTCTGTTCCTCTGCTAACTGTTGGATTTGTATGGGGTGAATAATAACTCTTCTTTTCAGTTAATAGGTCTGTGAATGAAGAGTAGCTTGGCTGGGCATGGTGCCTCAGGCCTGTAATTCCAGCACTTTAAGAGGCCAAGGCAGGTGGATTACTTGAGGTTGGGAGTTTGAGACCAGACTGGCCGATATGATGAAACCCCCATCTCTACTAAAAATTCAAAAAAACTAGCCAGGTTTGGTGGCAGCACCTGCAGTCCCATCTACTCGGGGGTCTGAGGCAGGAGAATAGCTGGAACCCGGGAGGCAGAGGTTGCAGTGAGCCAAGATCATGCCACTACACTCCAGCCTGGGCTACACAGTGACACTCCGTCTCAAAAAAAAAAAGAGTGGCCACATTATATCTGATGAAGACTAGTAAATGTATCCTGCAAAGCCTGTTCTTTGTGCTGAGTGCAGTTACTAGTAGAGATTTTGGGTTGTCTCTGACGAGAATGAGTTGAGAATAGTCTATGTTTTTAAGAAGAGATCGAAGGATAGACTATGATAGAGGCAGTGCTCACCAAGTACTATAAACACTTCCTTATGTTTACTAACCTTCCTTGCCTTATGTTGGTGGTAGTCTGTGACTAATCCCGGCCAATGGACTTCAGTAGAAATGATGTGTGCCCCTTCTGAACTGAGGCAATTGAAAGCTGGGATGTATCCTTTATCCTCTTCTGTTTTGCAATGTTGGAGGCAGTTAAGCTGTATCAACATTCTAGATGACAGGGCTACAGAATAGAGCGGTGCTGTGCTACAAGCATTGGACTTGATTCTCGATTTATTACACTATGTCTCTGAGATTTAGATTAAAACTGTTAACACATAATAGCCTAAGCTATACTGATTCAGGAAAGGTCCAACAAATCTCTATTTCAACCTTTCTCTTGTACTTTCTTCTCCTCAAGTTATCCTTGGCTCAATAAACAGAAACTGTCCTTTGTTCCTCGTTGCTCAAAACAAAAACCTTGGAGTAATTTTTGACACCTGCCTATTTTTTATACTTCATGTGTAATTCTTCAGCAAAATTGGTTGACTTTTATTCAAAATATATCCCGAATCAGATCAGCCTGACCAATATGGTGAAACCCATCTCTACTAAAGATACAAAAATTAGCTGGGCGTGATGGTGTATACCAGTAATCCCAGCTACTTGGGAAACTGAGGCAGGAGAATTGCTTGAACCCCAGAGGCAGAGGTTTGCAGTGAGCTGAGATTCTGCCATTGCACTCCAGCCTGGGCAGTGAAACTCCATCTCAAAAAAAAAAAAAAGTCACTAAATTCCCTCCCTCCTACCCTCCACTTCATCTTCTGCCACTTTATCCTTCAGCCTTACTAGCTAAGTCACTTAGCAGTTGGGTTATTTTCAGCATGAAATTTAACCCTTCTGAGATGCAGTTTTCTCGTCTATAAAAAAAGTCATATTAATAGCCATCGTATGGGATTCGTGTAGAAAATAATTGTAGTAATAATGATCAAAATAATTTTTTTAAGTTAAGCTTGCACAGTACTTACTACATACCAGGGATTATTTTAAATTAAATTAACTCATGTACTCCTCTCAACAATCCCATGAAAATTATTATCATTATCCACATTTTTAGGCAAAGAAAATGAGGCAGAAGAAATTAGATAACTCTCCAAGGTTGCGTAGGTAGTCAAAGTTAAAATCTGAACCCAGGCAGTCTAGCTCTAGAGTCTGAATGCTTAATAACTATATTTTGAGACATTAAAATATAAAATGTCTGGTATATGTTCAGGGCTTGACACTGGTCGACCTTCTTCCCTCAGTAATATTGTGAAAATATGATTTTACAGAAGTTAAAGACAAATCTGGTATAGGGGACAAGTAAAAATAAATATGCCTTAGGAAATCTCTTATCACTACATGAATAAAGAAACAGTAATACGATAATTTTCAAAAATAAAAACAAAGACAGTAAGAAACAATAATTTCCTAGGAAAAGTTATCCAAAAGCATAATCCAAAAAAGTAATCTTTCTAAAATAAAATGCTATGAATCGAACCTTGGAACAAGTGTTATAGCAATGAAGTTTCCCCTTATGTCAGAATAGATTCTGTGAAATTTCAAATTCACTTAAAATGGATTATTTCTATTTGTGGTCTTTTCTGCTTCAGTGTTTAAGCCAAAATAGCAAGGGTAAGCCAGAGTTTATACAATAAGGACCTATTTTATTTAAACCTGAAAAGTGCGAACTTGCCCCCTGTTGCAAATACCAGAAAGCTCAAATACATTTATATGGTATCATTTTTATCGGAATTTTTTTTTTAATATGAACCTTTTTATTGATCACCAACATAAGATTAAGAAATGCCCACTGAATCATCTTCCTCTCAGAAATAACTGCAAAAATCATCTTTTGGAAGTCAGTATTAAAAGCTTGAAATAAAAGCTTACCTCGTTTGCTAGGATGAGAAGAGAATAGACCATCTATAGCATAGGACATGTCAGAATCCTTCTCCACTAGCTGTTCTTTTAGCTTTTCCAGCTGATAAAACTGTAAAATGATAATTAATTAGTCTTCTATAAAGCCATGCTGTTGGCCGGGCGTGGTGGCTCATGCCTGTAATCCCAACACTTTGGGAGGCCAAGGTAGGCAGGTCACAAGGTCAGGAGATCGAGACCACCGTGGCTAACACAGTGAAACTCTGCCTCTACAAAAAATACAAAAAATTAGCTGGGTGTGGTAGTGGGCGCCTGTGGTCCCAGCTACTTGGGAGGCTAAGGCAGGAGAATGGTGTGAACCCAGGAGGTGGAGGTTGCTATGAGCTGAGATCGTACCACTGTACTCCAGCCTGGGCAACAGAGCAAGACTCTGTCTCAGGAAAAAAAAAAAAAAAAAAAAAGCTGCTCTTTATTAAAGAAGAAGAAAGATGAAAGAAAGAAAAAAGGAGAAAAAATGGACAAAAGAAAGGAAGAGAGAAAAAGGAGGAAATGGAAACAAAGGAAGAAAGAAACAAAAAAGAGAAGAAAAACAGGAAGCATTCATTTAGGGGCTGACTAGGAAAGGTACATGACTCAACAAAAGATCAGAAAGAAATAGGTTTTGGGTAAAAGGAAGTCACCTCTAGCTGTTAATGGGGAACCTGTAGATACAGCCTGTGTACTTGGACTTTATTTTGTGTCACCTATAATGAGCAGGTCTTTTCAAGGAGCTACAAATTATTATGTCAATGCTTGGATTTCCTGAATTTTTTTGTCTTTTCTAGTTGGAAGGAAAAAGTATTTTGAGGCCCTAAGATTTCTATCTAGAATTCTACTTATTTTAATTTTTAACAAGGTTATGAATTGCCTTAAGCCCTGAAGAACTAACTACAAAAGTAGGGTTCAGCCTGAACCACTGTTTATCTCCATGTTGGTGCTACTCAGAAGAGAATGATGAGAATAATTCTCTCTCCCAAACGGCCATACGGTTTGCAGAATAATGGAATTGCACAGAGAAAATGGTGTTGCTAGGGGCCCCCATCAAGAGGGCAGCACTTCAGGCTCTTCAAACCAGCTGCTTCAAGCCAAACAGCTCTGCTTTTACATGTTTCATTTGCTGGAAAAACACAACATTTGGGGGAGAAAAGATTCCCACTGTTTAAAAACAATAACTTCAAAAACATCCATCTATTTATAGCCTCCCATTTTACAGATGAGGAGATTTCAGTCTAGAGAATTTGTTTGCCCCAGTTTTCATAGTTTGGTAATTGCAAAGCTAAAATTAGAATCCAGATTTCTAGACATTATATAGAAAGATCACTTCAGCCATAGTTTTGTTCTGTTTTGTGTTAGTATAATTTGATTTTTCTTTTCCTGTAAAATAGCTTCACCCTTTGTTTAGCAGGAATAGAAGTTTTACATGGTAGTATTAATAATTTCTTTTAAAAAACTTTGTGCCAAGAAGAAATTTCCTTATAATTGTTATTAAAATTGATCATTTAAGTATTTCACATTCTCACCTGGTTAAGTTCTTCCAGTTTGTTAGGCAATGCTAGATCTGCAAGACACATTTGTCATGTGAAAAAACGTATATCGCAAGTGATATTTAATTTGCTTCAGTACATACGTTTAGGATCTTATGTAGAAAGCACAGGTCTTTTTCGTATGATTTGACATCATCCACCCATTCCTAATACAAAATCTCCAGTATATTTTTTCAATGCCCATAGTATTGAAATGCAATCAGTTATGACATCTGAAATATCTAACTTTCAACAATAAGTACAAAGTTTTTCTAAAGTAGACCATAGTTCTAACACGACCTATGATTTAGAAATAAACCATTTTTGCTGGCATGTGGAAATTCTCATAAAACATTAAATGGGAAGAAGAAAAGCAGGCCATGTATCCTATGCATAATTCAATCAAGAAGAAAATTCTCCAAAATACTAATGCTAACTTGCTACAGGTCTTAAAATTTGGGTACAAATTTTTTGTTTTTATAAATTTCACTTATTTTTCAATAGGAATATATTACTTTTAGTTTAAAAACCCTGAATTTTAAAAGTATTTATGAAGTTATTCTTTTAACTGGCATTTTTCTGTATGAATACAGACATTTTTAGACTACTTCAGATGTTGTATGGGACGTAGCACAGTATCATTTGGTCACATTTTCTCTTAGGCTAGACTTGCTAAATTTCTGACAAAATCTCAGTCATTTCTTGGAAGACAATCTGATGGATATTTGTAAGTCAGATTATTCTGTTCTTCAAATAAAAATAATCTCAATTGGTGTAGCCTAAATTTTTCGTTCATCATCTATACTCTAATCATTTCCTAAAATTGAAAGATTTTGATTAAAATAATGCTAAATTAACTACAACAAAGCTGCAGTTAATTTGTGAAATTTCTAGAAGAAACCTATGAATATAACATTTTTGAAACATTTAATAAAAGAAAATACTGGGGGTACTAGTGGAGAATTGCACAGATGAGAAGAAAACATGAATAAAGGTAACCATTTTTTTTTAACTATATGGTTACCAATCCCATTAGGACCCTCGAATTGACCAAAATAGGCTTTTAATATTTGTTAATAACTCCATGGATTTAACATAAATATAAAACAAAAAAAAAACACTTAAATCTTTAGTGTAACATACAAAGGAGTAATTATTTCATTTAATATCAATTAACATTTAGAAACAGCAAGTCTCAAGACAAAATAGATTCTGTTATTTTTTAATAAATAGAGCTTGACTTTATCCTTAACTCACCAGTGTTGAAAGGTCTTTGGAAATCAAAATTTTTATTCAGTAGAGCCAGCAACAGTTCCTCACGATTTGGATAATTTTTATCTGGAAGTATTTCGTTTCCTGTAATGATCAAAAACCACCATTTTCAATCTGAGTCACCGAAAATATTTCTAATTAAATTGGTCTTGCAGGCAACTATCAATTTGTATATTTAACAACAAAAGAAATGTAGAGAGAGTGTATAATCCAAGGGGATAGGTCATTAAAAAAAAAGGATTGAATATATGTTGAATGCATACGGACAAAGAGAGACAGACACAGAAAGACAGAATATATGCATATACCTGGAGGGTTGCAGTTTTTCCTGTGATTACTTCTGGGTAGGAGAATTGGAGGTGAATTTTACTTTCTTCTTTTTAATCTCTGTTTCTAGAATGTTCTACTATTTTATTTAACATAAGTATAAACTAAAAGTAGTTTTCAAAAGAAAAAAATAACATTTTATTTTGTGATTTTATTTGATATACACATTTATGTATAAGCCAGTTCATGTTCCATGAATTTCCTTTAAAACATCCAAGGAAGATCGTGGCAGAGCTAGGATGGTGTCAACCTCTTCCGAATTGACATGTTTTCATCTTTGTCAATTGACCTCACAGTCATTCATTCCTCAGCTGCCTAAATGTCTCAGTACTATCATTATCTTCATTCTGGAGTAGAAATTGAGACAAGAGACTTCTAACAAGCTATAAAACATGAAGATTCAAAAAATATCCATTGACAAATAATTCAATTGAAATAATAATTAGTATATTACAATGAACTTTAGTGAAATGGCCTGAAAAATCAAACCTTTATCACATAATTTCTGTAAGATCATTTTTTCTTCTCGCTGCCTTCTTGTGCTGTTAGAGTGTGAGTAGAATCAATATTAATAAGATTTAAGTTTAGGAGTGAGTACATGGTTTCAGCTAGAGAAACGACTTATAAGTTGATTAGACTATTTCTTAAAATCACCTGTCTTTCCTGTCTCTACAAAATGTTAGTTGATAAATTCAAACAGTTAAATGGCGAATTAAAAAGAAGAAAATGAATAATTTGGGGTAGGTGACAGAATCACAATTTTCTACATTAACCAAAGACACTTAATTGTTGCTCAATTCTTCAATTTTCTTTGCTTCATAAACATAAAAATTATTGGTAAAATTTTCTTTTGAGTATTTAAAATACCAAAAGAATATCAAATTTTGCTCAGCATCAACTATACAAAGACTCTCAGAGATAGTTCGGTTTAAAAGAAAGACATTATTATGAAATAATGTAATTTTTATTTTAATCATTCATTAAAAATGTTAAATTGTAATCTTCGAAATGTTTTCATTGAAAAAAAGACGGGATATTTCAGAGCCAGATAATAATAATTACTTGTTTCAGAAAGACAACTGTGATAAGAGAAACAGATTCATTACCTTCAATTTAGAAAATGTATGTGACTAAGAGTAATCTAACTAGAAGAGTATGGATCTAAAGCTTTTTTCCCCTTAATTCACAGTCCATTCCTCTGCATAGTTAAGTGAAACATTTTTCAAAAAACAAAACTGATAGATTTGCCTTTCTTTATTAGTTTTGCTTCCAATAATTATACCTCTATAACTCTTTGTCTTCAGAAATTCCTCATCACTATCTCTTAAGAAAAAACACCTCTTTTATGGGAGTCTCTGAAGAAAAACTTTTCTCAAGGAATTTTAAAAAGTTGATTTCTGAAGTTAAGATACTGGCTAAAAAAAAAAAAGCAACAGAAAATGAGTCTTTTGTTTTTTGTTTTCATACTTAGTTTTAAAACAGATTTAAAACAAAAAATGATGTTCCTAATGTTTCTTTGAACAGAGTTAACATTAATAAAGGAAATATTTGAATATAAAATATCTGAGTGTAGACATACATTTGACACAAGAGATGGCAAAGCTGTTCCAACATGAGAGACCGTTTTTGCAAATATTACACAGAAAATGGTGATTCGTTACTACTCGAGATACTGAATCTTAAAAAATTTAGTTGTCTCTTTGCTTTCCATTTACGTGGGAGGGTTTTGACTGCATAGAGACAAGAAATTTTACCAGAAAGAAATCTGGAAACTCCCAAAACGACTATATTCCCAAAAAGAAATTTCCCATAATCTTCGTGGTCATGATACTCTCTCTTCCTCCGCTGTTAGGCAGCTTGCCCCGTGTCAGGCTCATTCCCTCAGGCACACTTTTAGATGGTCCCTACCAGATGTAAGCTGGGAGGACTGTGCCATTTGTCTTGGAGAGTTCTAACACACAGAAAAAAGCTGATAAGCCCAACTTTGTAGTCTGTGTCAGCAGATAAATGCTTATTTTAAAATTATATTAAAAGACTAAAAGAAGTCAAATAGCGAATTTAAAAAAGGTATACATGGAGAAGAGCTCACTCTAATCGTGGACTATCTAGATAGAAAATAACCTTATTAATAATTTAATCTTCCTTATTTAGATATAGTAAAACTGAGGTCAAAGAGGTCTCTGAGAGAAATAGTTCCACTGTTGCTGCCTGTGATATATGCATATAACTGTGTGGCATTCTGAGGTCAGAGGTGTTATTTAACTGTAATCTAGCAAATGCTTTTTAGAGGCAGATTTTTCTCTATTTCATATACACATGAAATTAGAAATTACAGTTACCTAATCCTAATTTTGCAAAGTCTTCAGCAAATAACCACATTTTTCCTCTCATGTTTACATTATGTTAGAAACATTGGAAATTTCATTATTTCCTAGAAAGAGCAATGGAGACCGATCAAATGCAATGATTGTGGCTGGCAAAAGACAGAATGTGAGTGTCATGGATAAAATCCGGAATCTTTGATTCCCAGGCTTGTATTTAGGTCCCTGAGACTACTTGTTTTTCAATGGGTAAAATCCTCATAAATAAATAATAAGGGATTATGCAATTTTATTTCCTCTGCCAACAGAACTACTCTACTTTTTATTGACTGAGGTTACAAGGTCTAGTAAAATGGAATTAGAATCAGAAATTGGAAACTTGATCTCTTTTCTCAATCTAATGTCATGTAAACAAAATTTATTACATTCTGTCTTAGTTCCCCTTAAGTAAGCTGAGAGTAAAAGGTTATCTCCCTCTTCCTGACAAGGAAGTCAGTTAGATGAGAGAAACAGCAAGAATTTCAGGCTGGAAAAGATATTAGAGAACATTACTTTAAGTCACTATTTTGGAAACATAAAGAAATGTATTAAAGTTTCAATGAGGCTAGGTTGTTTGCCTAATAAATCACTACTAAATCTCGCTCTATGAATTCTCAGTTTAAGAGCTACCTTTTCTATAGAAGAACCAAAAATTTTAAATAAAAATTATATACATTATAATATTAAGAGCAGAAACTTATTTTCACTAATTTTATCACGGTGTATATTTTCTAGCTGTCATAGATGGAATTATTTCATTTCACATAAGTATCCTAAGTATGTTGGAAATGTGATAAAAAATGTGTAATGTAGGTGTTAGCATTGCCCTCCTGAAACTGCTATGATTTCCCCCAATGCTTTATTTTCTGCAAATCTCTGCAAATACAAGTTTCTATTTTGATGTATTTTTCTTTGTTTTACTCTCTTTTCAGAAAGAACTTACTAATAGTCTTGTAAGATGAAAATCTCCTTTTCCTTTCCCCAAGAGAGAGTTCTGAAATATGAAGAATATAATACTATTGATACATTCCCAATCTTTGGTCATGGACTACAAATGAGAAACAAGCACCCCAATATTTAAAGTATAGTTGAAGTGAATTTAGTGCAATATTGGATAAAATTAATTTGGGTAAAATTAATCTACTTGAAAAGAACAGCATTGAAGATGACATTTAATTCTGACCAGCAACTACTTAAGGAAGGTTTGGCTGTTAACTAATATTTATTTCTTACAACATTATTTCAACAATGGCAGAAAAATCAAAGTTGTTCAAGTAGAAATAGAAGAATTATTTACCCGCCTGCAGGATTTTAAATTGATGTGCACGTACCTTGGGTAAAATACGGCCGTCCACGCACAGATTGTAAAAAGATCAACACAGATGACAACGTTAGGAGTCCAAAGCAAAGAGTGCTTGAGAGGATCTTGTTCATGTTAAAAAATCTTCTGGACTAGCAAAGAAAAGGACTTTCCAGGTTAAAATGGATATTTCTATGGCTTTGGAATTCAGTACAGCTTAGTTGCAAAAGGCAAATGTGCCTCGGTTACGAATGCTCTGGATAAAGGAAAAAGAAAGAAAGAAAAGAAACCAATAAAATGCAATGCACCTTGTCCACATGATTCACTACTTGGAGAAGTGACAGGTTCGTTAGAGAGTCAATGGCAGGAAGAACCCAATCAATACATCTCATACCCGCCCATTTCACTAAAAGCAGGCGTTTCTAGGCATGCCCACACATTCAAATAGATGCACAAGGATGAAGCAAAATCTCTTGAAATAAAAAACTGTTGGATTTTCATAACTTATGGTTTAATTTCCTGATTCCAGGATTAATTAACCTCAAATCTTATTAATACTAAAGCTGAGAGCATAGAGGGCAGGTGAAAATGGGAACAATGTCTTTCATTTGACTACTTTTGAGCTAGGTGGTAGTCTTCCTGATAGTGATGTTATTTGCAACTATCACTTTATCCTTTTTTTTTTTTTTTTTTTTTGAGACGGAGTCTCGCTCTGTCGCCCAGGCTGGAGTGCAGTGGCGGGATCTCCGCTCACTGCAAGCTCCGCCTCCCGGGTTCCCGCCATTCTCCCGCCTCAGCCTCCCGAGTAGCTGAGACTACAGGCGCCGCCACCTCGCCTGGCTAGTTTTTTTGTATTTTTAGTAGAGACGGGGTTCCACCATGTTTGCCAGGATGGTCTCGATCTCCTGACCTCGTGATCCGCCCGTCTCGGCCTCCCAAAGTGCTGGGATTACAGGCGTGAGCCACCGCGCCCGGCCAACTATCACTTTATTCTTAACCAACTGAATAAACTGGCGAAAACCTCAAATTTGAAATGAATCATAATGGGATCACATTACTGTCTCACTGTATTAGAAAAGGATGGCTTCATTTTGCTGCAAGCAGCACTTTTAAAAATTAAGGCTGAATTTAATTAATTCGAATCTGGCAAATGTCCCAACAGTTACTCTCTTTAATACTTGCTTTAATTTTGCTGGTTTTCCTTTTAAGTCAAAGTCTTTCGGCATATCTCCAATTTCAATTTTATGGCTCCAGGGATGCTATATTATAATGACCTCTGGTCTTGGCATTTACTTGTCCCAAAAGACTTGGGATGTATCCACTCTAAACTTGACTCCGTTCCAGTGCATACACTGCAGCACATGATGGCGTTAACTAAGGAGAATGACTAATCTTTGTACTAACTGGTTGCTTAGTAAAGTTTCTGAATGAAATCTACATTACTTCATTTGATATTTAGGCTTGTTTCTCCTTTACAGATTCGTTTTTCACTATATATTTTTGTGTACCAGCCACATTAGACTACTAATGCATGAACATATCCTGCACTTTCTGCACTTCAGAGCGTTGCTGACATGGCTGCCTAGAATCCTTTATTCTACAACTGGCCATTTTACCTACTGATTTCCGAAGCTACCGATCAAATGCCATCAGAACTGTTTAGCCTTTTGGATCTTTTTTCTACTTTGTGTCATAACTTTTTTTTTCTCCTTTGGACTGCCACAACATTTTGTTTGTATATCTACTATAGTTCAAAATTCATTTCTCCTTTCATTAGTTATGTATTTGTGTGTCTGCCTCCACTATCAAATTGTAAATACTTTGAGGGCACTTACAGTCATAGTCATTTCTGTTCCTATGTGCAAGTACCATAGTGGTTTGTGGAAAAAATGAGTGAAAACATGTTTGATGTGTGACTAAGTAATAACCAAAATTTCTAGTAATTGAAAGACAAAAATATAACTCCCTTAAACTTTACATCCAGTTATAAAGCTAAATAAGCTGAAAGAATAATTGCAACACTTTGTGTCTTACTTTCTTAAGTAAGAATTCAACCATGAACAATGATGAACACAGATCCTAAAAGCTTATTCTTCCATAGCGTTTCAAAACCTCTGTCATTCAAATATACCTTGATGATATCTGTCCTTATTTATTTAATAAGTTATTTAAATTAACTTTCTAAACTCTATTTTAAAATATTATATCAAGATGGAAAATAGGAAGTCAATGTCATGTGATAGAGAAAGAATATATACATATGATGAAAAATTGTACAATTACAAGTCATATACATAAAAAATAAGATATAAAATATTAAATCTAATCTATAATTTAAAATAAAAACCTGAAAATAGGTTTTGCAATGAAATTGGAAATTTAGATATGCACTGTATTAAAGACATATTCAACTTTTATTGCCTTAATTTATACTTAACTAAAAAATTAAGTATAAATAAGATTATTCCACTTTTTAAAAAGCATTGATGTAAACTGCATGAGGAAATCCAATTCTCATGGGTAAGAAGTTTTCTTGAAAGTGGAAAAATAATTTAACTGTCTTTTGATAAGGTAGAATACTGATTATTCATTTCTTTTCCTTCTTTCTTTCTTTTTTTCTTTTTTTCTTTTTTTTTTTTTTTTTTAAAGATAGAGTCTCTCTGTCACCCAGGCTGGAGTGCAGTGGCGTGATCTTGGTTCACTGCAACCTCCACCTCCCAGGTCCAATTGATTCCCCTGCCTCAGCCTCTTGAGTAGCTGGGATTACATACCACCACCCCTGGTTAATTTTTGTGTTTTTAGTAGAGATAGGGTTTCACCATGTTGGACAGGCTGGTCTCAAACTCCTGACCTCATGATCTGCCCACCTCAGCCTCCCAAAGAGCTGGGATTACAGGTGTAAGCCACTGCACCTGGCCCCAAAATGAATAATCAGGGCCAGGTACAGTGGCTCACACTAATCCCAACTCCTTGGGAGGCTGAGGTGGGCAGATCACAAAGCCAGGAGTTCATATTTATAATTTTGTTTCACATCTTTTTTCCACAAAGTCTTGTTTTAAGAAATCTGATATAATTTCCAAAATATTTTTCTGCCATATTTTAGGTAATATTGGCAAAGTGATGAAAACTAAGTCCCTAGCTGTCCTTCTGTAATGAAGGAGATATAAAGACTTTCCCAGACAAGCAAAAGCTGAAGGAATTCATCACCACCACACCAGTCTTACAAGAAATGCTAAAGGGAGCTCTTTGTGCTGAAAGAACTGAGTGCTAATTAGTAACATGAGAGCAGGAATGTATAAAACTCACTGGTAGAAGTAAGTACACAGTCAACTGCAGATACTCTAATACTGTCATGGTGGTATATAAATCACTGATATCTTTAGTACAAAAGTTAAAAGACAACACTGTTAAAAATAGTGCTTTAGATGTATAAGCTACAATAATTTGCTAAGGAATACACAATATAAAGTGATGTAAATTATGACATCAAAAACAAAATGTGAGGAGGAAAAGTAAAAGTGTAGAGTTCTTTTACATGGTCAATATTAAGTTGCTATCTGCTTAAGATAGTATGTTATAATAAGATGCTTTATTTTAGCTTCATGGTAAGCACAAAGCAAAAACCTATAGTAGATATCAAAAGACAGAAAAATATGGAATCAAAGCATACCACTAGAGATAAATTTTAATCACAAACGAAGACAGCAAGAGAAGAAGAAGCAAGAAAGGATATACAAAACAACCAAAAAACAATTAACAAAATAGTAGTAGTAATTTTTTACCTATAATTACTTTGAATATAAGTGTATTAAATTCTCCAATCAAAAGACATAGATGAATAAAGACCATACCCAACTATATGCTGTCTACAAGAGACTCATTTCACTTTTAAAAATATATATAAGTTGAAAGTGGGCCAGGCTTGGTGGCTCATGCCTGTAATCTCAGCACTTTGGTAGGCCGAGGTAAGTGAATCACAAGGACAGGAGATCAAGACCATCCTGGCCAACATGGTGAAACCCTGTCTCTACTAAAAATACAAAAATTAGCTGGGCATAGTGGTGCATGCCTGTAGTCCCAGTTACTTGGGAGGCTGAGGCAGGGGAATCGATTGAACCCAGGAGGCAGAGATTGCAGTGAACCGAACCCATGCCACTGCACACCAGCCTGATGACAGAGTGAGACTCCATCTAAAAAAAAGAAAGAAAAGAGAAAAAAAGTAAAAGGATGGAAAAAGATATTCCATGCAAATGAATAACAAAATAAATGGGATAGTTAAGCTTACATCAGGTAAAATAGACTTTAAGACAAAAACTGCAAAATGAGACAAAAGAAGGTCATTATGTAATGATAAAGGGGTCAATTCATCAAAAGGATATAATAATGTTAAATATGTCTATACCAAATATTAGAGCAGCTAATTATGTAAAGCAAATATTAATAGATCTGAAGAGAGAGATCAGCTGTAATACAATAATAGTAGGTGATTTCAATACCCCATTTTCAACAATGGACAGATCATACAGACAGAAAATCAATAGGGAAGCATGAGACTTAAATGAAACTTTAAACCAAATGAATCTAACAAACATATACAAGACATTTCATCCAACACCAGAATACGCATTCTTCTCAGGTGCGTACCAAATATTCTCCAGGATAGGTCATGTATTAGACCACAAACAATTAACAAATTTAAGAAGAATGAAGTCATATCTCATATCTTCTCCAACCACAATGGTATGACACTAGAAATAAATAATAAGGAATTTCAGAAAATTCACAAATACATGGAAATTAAACAATATGTTTTCTAAACAGCTAATAGACCAAAGTAGAAATTAAAAGGGAAATATAAGAATATCTGGAGACAAATGAAAATGGACACACGATGTACCAAAATTTATGGGACACAGCAAAAGTAGTTGTAAGGGGCAAGTCTGTACCAATAAATGCCTATATTTTAAAAAAGAAAATATCCCAAATAAACATCTATTACATCTCAAGAAACTAGAAAAACAAATCAAATACAAACTAAGCCCAAAGTTCGTGAGAGGAAGGAAATAATAAAGATCAGAACAAAAATAAATGAAATAGAGACTAGAAGAACAATAGAAAAAAGCAAAGTAAATAGGACTTGTTTTTTGAAAAGATAAGAAAAATCCACAAAATGTTAGCTTGACTAAGAAAAAAAGTGAGAAGACAAATAAAATCAGGAAGAATGTAATAGAAAAAAATTATAATTGACATCACAGA